GCATTTTCATTTCATGGTTATTGTTTCTTGAAAAGCAAAAGTCTTATTTAGCTGCCTAAATTGGTGACAGGTTGATGATCTTGCAGAGGCGTCGAAGTCAATTACGACATTGCAAGCGATGGTTGATCAAGATGTAGAGCGGAATTGTGTGAGGAAAGGAGGAAGTCATACCAGAAACCTCTTGAGAGTGAAGCGTGGGCTTGACATGGTTAGGGTACTGTTTGAGCAGATTTTAGCTACAGGGTACGTATCGTAATGGCTACTTTTACCAAACTAAATTTATGCCCCAATTAGCATCAGGCTATCCAAGTACGTGTGAGTGTAATAATACTTAAATTTGATTTCTTACATACCCTTTTTGAGTCGGTATTACTTGCTAACGTGTTTTTCTCCCTCAAGTTCGTGGGGAAACTTTGACGAGAAATTATTGCTTCTGCAATATCTGTATGTTACGTTACATAATCTGGAAGCAATATTAAGTACAAGATGTTGGTATGGTACTACATGATTTATACTTAATAGTTTCGTTCTATATTGATATGAAGGTGATAGTTCATCTCAGCCAGTGCCACATCTCATTAGATGATCTGATGTTGGAAAGCAGTTGTCATGTCTTTTTCATCTTTCTTCTTCAAAACTTTTCACCTTGTTGCTATTTGATATTAACATTGTTTAAACTTTTTGCCCTTCTTATGTTCGCTACTCAAGTCAGGTATTCAAATGCTTCTCCCAGCTTCTGGGCAATGGCTACATGTTTTGCATGAGAGATTTTAACTTAGAACTGACAATAGCCCATTTAATGCTAGCTTCAGTAATACTTCTGCCGTTGTCCTATTGAGACAAATCTTTCTTTTCAAGCAAGTCTTAGAAGAAACAGATTTAAGCAGATGATGATTGATATGGAGGATGATAGTAGGAGTTGCTAATGTTAATACAATCTGAACACTCTATAATCTTTGTGTGGCAGGGGAAACTCATTACGAGATCCAGCTTCAAAGGCCTATGCACAGGTTTTTGCACCACATCATGGATGGGCTATCAGGACAGCTGTTGCTGCAGGGATGTATGCTCTTCCTACAAGAGCACAGCTATTGAGGAAGCTTAATGAAGACGGTTAGTGCATGCATAAGTTGATTTTTCAGTCAAATGCACCTTAATAAGACATCTATGCTTTTACTTCATATTATGACATTTTCTTAATTATCTAGTGGTTTGAAATGGTGTGGACCTGTTAGAGGTGGGTATTGGTAGTTGGTTCTAGGTTCTAACTGAAACCTGTTAAATATTGAGCACAATATGATCTAGATTCTATAATTTGTTTGAATTAAGCATTTATGGAATCAGGCTTGTGCTTATGTTGAATATTCCTGTTTTCCCTTGATGGAGCAAGGTTCCCATCAACACTGCTCTAAGATTGGATGTAAAAGCTAGTGTTTGAAAACCATAATTTGACTTTGCAGTGGTCTAAACGTGGCTTAGCACCACCCCTACCTATGGCATCATCCATGGTTAAAACCATGACCTATCATTTTTGGATTAAGCTTCATTGGGATTTAGGGTGTGCTTATGTGGAATAAAGTAATTTCCCTCTTCCCCTACAAATGAGCTGGGTTCGCATCAAACATGTTGCTTTAGATCAGATCAGTCAAAATGGCTGGAGCTTGAAAGCCATAATATAATTTTGTGCTGGTCAAAAAGTGGCTTGTCCCTCCCTCCTTTTGGCATTAGCTTTGCTTTCCTTGTAAAGGAAAGTAATGAACTGGGCTTTTTCATTTTCATATTTAAGTTAATATTAATGTTATTGTTCCTCATGTTTCCTGCAGAGGCCTCAGCAAGGAATCAAATGCAAAGTTATGTTGTTGCATCAGGTCCAGTTATTCTTTACATTGAGAAGCTTTTCACTTCAAGAAATTTGGGAACGGATTGGTAAAAGGACAGTTATAGAGACCCCATTTATCAACCTATAGATCTATTTATTGTGATAACACCTTAGCTGAAGGATAGTTACGTCTGTTTTCCTCTTCTGCGTCTTCCCTTTTGCTGAACTTGTGCCTCTCCTAGTCCAGTTGAATACTATTTTTTTTCCCTTTTTTGATGAGCAAGCTAGTTGAATGTTGAAAATAAACTTGATTGTTACTGTCGTAATGTGAATGTCTGAATGATGCTATATTTTGAATTTTGCTGCCACTATTTTTTCTTTATTCTGCTAAACACAATTAAAATTTTAATTGCGTATTAAACTTAGCCACTTGACCTATGATCCCAAGATATTTCAAAGCATTTTTCGTCTATTTAAGATCAGAACATGTTTTAACTTTTTCAAAAAAGGACGACATTGAAAATTTTCCAATACTTTGGTGCCAAGGTGGTTAATAATGGAGTAAGAAAAGATGAAACAAAGCCCCTAATCCTTTTATTATTATTATTATTATGATTATTTGAAACATCTAATTCATAGTTAATTCAATACACGATATTATAAGTAAACAGTGATTGTTCATAAGAACTTGGAGAAAATAAAAACTATAAAAACCATAAAAAAGTAATGCAAACACAGAGTTGAAATCAACTTACCACATACAGATTAACAAAAATCATACACACACAACTAATTTAAGCAATATAATATAATACCACCAGGGTTTGAAAATCAGTTGGTGCATTCAATGCCTTAGCCGATACTAAGGTTCGAAGCACAATAATATCTTGCAAATATTCTTATGTTGTTTGAGCTATTGTTTTTACTAGTTTTTTGTCTTGAGATCTCCAAAGGGACATATAGTGTATTCTTTTATTGTTATAGGCTAGAAGTCGGGGCATAAATTTTGAATTAAGCTGAATCATAATAGCATAACCTGGAGAAATGCCTTTGCTTTTGTTTGTTGGCTATCATATTACCACAAAGAGGAAGATTAAGTGTGTGTTTCTCCTTAAATTGTGCAGGTACAAACTAGGTTTCTGTCCAAATGGTCCTAACTGCCAATACAGGCATGCAAAGTAGTCCGGTCCTCCACTTTACAGAAGATTCAGCAGTTAAATTCTTATCATTATAATAAATATCAACAAAGGAATTCTGGCTTTAACCAACAAACACATAAGCCTCAGGCACTGCAAGGCCCCAACACTGTCAACCAAGGAGCTGTTGGAAAACCTTCAACATCAGAATCTGCTAACGTGCAGCAGCAGCATCAAGTTCAGCAACCCCAAAAACAGGTCAGCTAGAACCAGATGCAAACTGCTCCTGCTGGCCAGCCTAAACAACCAAATAGAACTGCTACCCCTTTGCCTCCAAGAATATCTAGGTGTGTTCTGAGACCTGAGGTCTTTAACTGGGTTTTGTAAATCATTCATTGTATTTTATCTAAATATAGTTATCAGATGTTTGTTATTCAGCAATAATTGCTCAGAGGAGTTCTGTCGTTGTTCATGTAGGTACTTGTGGTTATTCTACATGTTTAATCTGTTTATGCTGTATGTTGGGATATTTGATAATTTGACATTAATTCACACTTCTTTTTGATGATATTCTTACTCTCCATTCAATTTTTTGTTTACACTGAAATCTTAAGAGAAGGTGAATAGTTGTGCTGTCTCTGCTAAGATTTGGCTTAGATATTGCAGTTAAAAGACTGAAATAAATGAAACGCTTTTCTGCTTCTTTCCCCCTTAGCTATATATAGAGAAGAGAAGGTATTGTATACTTGATTTTATTTTTTTTGCCTTGAAGCTTCAGATGGTACAAAGAATTATTCCTGGAGAAGGATTTCTTGTACACCTTATGTGTGTCAGGGAAATTTGAAAAAGCATCTTGAATGAACGTTAAAATACTAGTTGTTATTGGTCTTTTCAGGCTATTGTAAAGGTTAATTATATTTTTGGAGAAAATATGTCTATCCAATTTGTGTTTATATATTTATGAATTTCTAAGCAGGCAGGCTGTCAACCTTGATGTCTTTTATCTATGATAATTCCTTAATTTTGTGGTTTTTATTTCGCAGGATTGTTAATTTAAACTCTTCATATTTTAAGCCATAAAAGTATGAATTTGTGATAAAATCTAGTCACAAGTTTTAGGTTATGATCTAATTCATCATTTTATGGGTTGTTAATTTTGGGAATATTACTTCATAGAGGGAAAAAAAATCAGGGGAATCTAGAAGGGTTCCTATGTTCCCAAAAAAAGGAAAAAGAAAGAAATGTTTTCCTATCTAATAAAGGTTAAAGTCAATTACAAGTATTTTTTATTGTTCTTCATGATGCTAAATATTAGTGCTATATAGTTTAGTTTTTTAAATCCCAGTGGAAGCATGTATGTTTTTCTATCTTCCTTTTTTTTTTCTTTATTTGAAAAGGGCAATTTTAGAGAAAAAGGGAAGGTAATGGGCTCAGTCCATGGGCTGGGAGAAGTAGTTATAATCCATAGATCAAATGCAAATATTTAAATAGTTAGTGGAACTTGAACTTTCAACCAACTCTAACCATGTATTAAAAGTTGGAGGTGAACCATTAAGCCTGAAAGGTCAATTCGTATGTTGTTCTATCTAGGAATACAGCAATGTGTATTTGAACATTTGTTGTTTGATGGCTATCATGTGTTCTTCGTTGTGCTTCTTTGGTTACTCTTGAGTTTCTTTTCCTTTATTTCTTTTCCTTTATCTGGTGACAATATATACATGAGATTTTAAGTGAAATTCTCATAGAACCTAATATGTTCCAGGAATTATTTTTGTAGCTGGAATAACTACACCATATAGAGTCATCCCAAGGGGTGGAGAAGAGATAGAGAAGGAGGTAAGAGAGAAGAGGTCAAGAGACTGCAAAATCTAGCTAGATTCCAGGTGAGATGGCCAAAAAACCTATATATAATTTTATATTTCGTTTATTTTCTGTGGCAGCTAATTTTTTCTTTGCATTACTTTAATGGCAGCATTCTTCTTACCTGGCTAAGCATTGCATTTTGATAGAAAATTATTTTTGTTATATGCAAATTTGTTCGTTGTAGGTTTTTATTGTTATTGTTTCAAGTAATTGTGAAGTTTGTATTTTGTGGCTATTGTTGATAATATATGATTGTGCTTGCAAGTATTTATACCTGGGTAAATGCATATTTGATGTTGGATGGGATTTTTTTTTTTTTTCCATTTTACTAATATTCTTCCTTTTGACTTGGCATTTTTCATAATCTATTTTCCCCCCCTTATGCTCTTTCTTTGCTGGTCATGGTTTCCCTTTAAGTGTAGTGAATATGGCTCCCTCTGGACTCCTCTTTTTTCTAAGTATTATTTTGTTGCTATTAATTGGACACATCGTGCATAACATGCTTATAAATTCAAGACAAAGAAGTATGACTTTTTCTATGATCTTTTTTAGCTTTTTATTTTTATGTATGTGTTTTTACGTGGATATCTTTATAGTATACTTAGTTTAGTTAATTTCTATGGTTGCAATATTATCTTACTTACAAAGTTCAAGATACTTGCTTGGTACAACCATTTCTTTATTGAGGAAATATTTCAGTGGCATAGGGGCATCAATTAATCAAGTCTTTTTTATGATTTCAAGATGTTTGGATTAATGCTCACTAGGGAGATCAAGAGGGTTGGAAAAGGGCTTGTTTTGTAGGGTTTCATGTTATGTAACCTTTCATACTATACTTTAGTTCCATTTAATATCATTTGGATGTTATAGTGCTTTTGATCATATGGGAATATTCGTTTACTTAGAACTGGGATGAATAATTTACTAGCAAAATCCACCTCCCAAAATCAAGCTTACTCTTCTCAGTTAATTTTTTCATTCTCTTTGGTTAAGGTTGTTTGATTAATTTCTCATTGATTGTTTTTGTTGTTAAAGTTACAAGGAATGTTATTTTATTTTGTGTTTAAATTTGTTTGGACACTGAAAAGAATGGAATTTGTTATTAGTGAATGTATGATAGAATCTTTACGACAGGAGTTTCAATCTATAGCTTGCTTACTTTACTTGATTTGTTTGATAAGATTTTTAGTTATCTATGGCATCTTTGTTTTAGAACTTATGGGCATTCAGTTAACTTTCTTAATAAAATTAAAAAATTTTATATTTTTGAATTTTTGAATTTTTTATAATATAATTGAGACTACTGGAGAGAATTAATTATGTACAATGGTTCTTGGTGTTTGAGAATTAAATTTTAATTACCCTTTGATTTTTCTTTTTTTTTTTTTTGCCCATTTTTGTTTAATGACAGAACTGTGCCTGTGGTGCAAAACATCATTGATATGGAGGGAAGGAATTTGGAGATGTGCATGGGTAAATAATTAGCAATGTTCCATGCTCCTGCAAGACCCTAATATGTGACTCTTTTCTTTTGCTTCAAATGTTAAAATAAATAGTTTTGGTTATCAATCAAAAGCTTATTTCTTAGCTATGATTCTATTTTCCGAGTTTGTAGTTAATATGTTGTATGCAACATGAAAGTGTGTTGTACTCAACTGTGTTTTGGGAAGTATTGATTGAAGACATGGGGAATTTTATAGAAGAACAACATTATGTTGGATATTATGCAGGATACTTTGTTGAGCTTTTTTACTTCTAGATAAATTTTTTAGAATAAGATTGTTTGTGTGAGTGAGGTTTTTAAACTTTGATCTTGAATTTATGATCAAATGATTACCAGTATAAGATATACTTTATTTCTTAATAATTCAATGAGCAATCAAAATGAAAATATAAATTTTTTATATTATTTATTTGTTATTATCTTCTGTTTTACGGTTATACTTGACTATGATCTCTTGTTATAATAAAAAGTTTTTTTTTATTCTCTTTCTTTGTTTTATTATTATTATTATAGTGTTGTTTGAATAATTTTGTATTAACTGAGTTTTTCCTGACTTTATTATCATTTACACCTAGATTGTCCATTGGATATATTAATTAAAAATAATTACAAATTAATTTCAATTGATAAAATATTCTCAACAACCACAAGGGATGAAGAGGAGTACTCGGCAATATAACATGCAGAGAGGAATTGATTCAATGCATGTTGTGTCTAGGGGAAAGAAATGAAGGAGAAAATTTTGAAAAACTTAAAGAAAACAACATGAAAAGTTATATAAATAATTACTATTTTTAAATATTGCTTAACATATTAATTAAGAAAAAAAAAGGGTTCAAAAACTACCCACTTTACAAAAATTTGAAGACAATAATAGCAAAACTTTAAAAAATTTATTACTTAAAAAAAAAAAAAAACTAGCCAAATATCATCACCTCTTAAACTGATAAAAAAAATTAAAATTAAGTTCATTGAAAGGAAAATCTTACAGTAATATATAAACTAAAGACAATGAAACAATATACTTCTACTCAACTTTTTTGATGGCTTAAATTTATCGTAATAGAACAAATTTTCTATTTTTGTGAAAGAATTGATTTTTCAGGCTATCATACTTCTATTAAATAGTACATAATTTGTGATTTATAAGTAGAAAGTAAAATTTTCAATCCCATTAACTTATCTTAATAGATTTCCCTAATAACGCGTCAATAATTTAAATAAGTAATAAATGAAATAAAAAAAAGGAAGAGGTAAGATTGGATTTTTCCAATCAAAATTTTATTTTGGACATTTCGAATTTGGCTAAATACAATAACTTGACTCATAAATTTAAGAGTTTATGTCAAATTTGAATTAAAAATTTCAACTCTAAATAGGAAGAGATTTTCTTGATTTCTTAAGATAATTGTGAAAATTTTATCCATACCTTATTTATTTTAATAAATGAGACCACTTTTTTCCAAATTAATTAATATTATCTTTTTTTGAGAATTAACTAAAGTTATTATTTTCATAATTTTATTATTTAAAAATTTAATTAGATATTAGTATTGAGTTGATAGATGAATGTCATATGTGAGACCCCATTTAAATAGTTTGTGTTCAAAAAAGTCCTTGACAATGAGGCAGAAGTGTCGATACCACAGTATACGTGTTGACACTTCTATAACAAATTTCGTGGAAATGTCACATTCTTTATACATATTGTCGATAGCGACAAAGGTGACGTCGGCACCCAACCCGTGTCGGGGTTTGTGGATCTTTGTAATTTTCTCAAAAGTAAAATGTCACGTGTGATTTATTTATTTATTTTTTTTTTAACTTTATGAGCACTTTGATTCTTAAATTTCGAATTCATTTATTTAGGTCTATGATTACAGCCTTTCTTCTTGCCATATAGTCCCTTAATTTTTAAAAGATTTTCACTTAATTTCTAAACTTTTTTTACATTCAAGTTCTCTTTAATAAATAATAAAAATTATATAAAATTCATAAATAATCATAAATAAAATTTATTAAAACTAATTTATCATTTAAATGTATCATATGAATTGTTTGATACAAAAATATATGATGTAAAATAAAAACTTTTAATCTTAAAATATGTAATCTAAAATCATATAAATTAAACTTTTTTTTAATA